CGTCGTCGTCGCCGCCGGCGGCGGGGGCTGCGAGCGCCGCCATCTCGGCCTCGGAGAAAGTGGACGGCTTCACCCGGAAATCGGTGCGCAAGGCGCAGAGGCAGAAGCGCTCGCAGGGCTCGTCGCAGTTCCGCAGCCAGGGCAGCCAGGCGGAGCTGCAGCCCCTGCCCCAGCTCAAAGGTAACGGCGGGGGCGCGGAGCCGTCCCCCACCCCGGCTCTCGGGGCGTGCGCCCGTCCCCTCCCTGCGCGGCGCGGCCCCCGCCCTGGCTCAAACAGGTTCCTGCGGAGTCCTGCTTCTCTCTGCGCCCCGATTCGCCTTAACTCTTCCCGTCTCGGAGGCCAGCAGCCCTTCCCACCTGCGCGCTTGCCTAACGTGCCCTCCCGTCGGGATCCTGCGTCCCGCGAGGCAGAGTTGTGCACTTTCCTCCGGGCCTGGCCCTGTCTCTCTTGCTTTGACATCCTGTGTCGTCCTCAGACACTCGCGTTCCCGAGTCGCACCTCCCGTTTTCCACCACTCTTAGTCCTTCACTTTTTCTGTTAGCAAGCGCTCTGCACCCACCCTCCGCTCAGCTCCCCTTCCCACTGATTGTTCCCAAGAGTCAGACCAGAATCCGAGTGCAGACGACAGGCTGGTCTGTAGATGTGTTTATAATGGGGGAAGAAAAACACCCAGAATTGGGCCAGTGTAGATCTAACTGACTGGATTCGGAAAATACGCTGTCGTCCGAGAGTGTACACACGCGATCAGTTTGGAGGAGTGTGAACGAGTAGAGAGTATTGTTTTGCAGCGGACTGGGAATTTAGCTCACTAGGCGGTGGTTCCGGAGACTTTGTAAGGTTTGTACAGTAATTCAAATTGGTATCCGTGCCTAATGCCTTGCAGGAGTACTTGGCCCTCCTTTTGGCTCACTTACTTTTCCCACTAGGTTTACAGGCTTTGCAGTAAGTTGGTTCTTGGTGTTCTTGCCTGTTCTTCGGGAAATACTGGGTTTTAATTTTTATGATTTTGACATTGTTGCTTTTTATGAGATAGAAATCATTATGGAACAAGATGATTGTGTCCCTAGACATTTACAGAATTCTTGTAACAAAAGAAACCTGATAGAAATCTGGATCATCTGTTTCACAAGGCCAGGAAATTGGAGGTTCATGCTAAAATAGATAAATGTCAAGCAGATTTTTCAGTCCACTTGAAAAAGATCCAGCATCCCTTTCAAGGCCAATCTGGTCCTGATTTGACTTTGGGTTTATGAACCCAACCTCATTTTGGCAAGGAGTCCAAAGAAAGTCCCAGTTCAAGTCACAGTTGACCGACAGTAGTTTTGGAACCCCATTCAGACCCTATATTGCACTGCTTCCTGGGCTGCTTCCAAACCAAGGACAGTCTCACAGCCCGAATCAGACTGGCTTTTGAAAAGAGGTTTTAAGATACATTTAGTCTGTGCTATCACATTTATGATTTGATTGCTCTTTAGCATACCGAAAGTGTTAAAATTCAGGTAGTTTAGTCTATGGTAGACCACGGTGGTAGGCATTGCTAAGACTTTAATTCTTGAGGGATGTTGTCGCTGTAAGACCGTCATCTTATCTGTAAGGATACTGAACTGCTGTTCAGAGGTTTAAAATTTTGCACTTAAGACATCATAGTTACTTTGGTTTTGATTTTTTTCTTGAGCATCAAATTGTTTTTACATTTTTGTTTGGTGCTAGCGGTTTTCTTATAATTTTTAGTAAGATATTCTAGTTCTCAGTATTGTACTTGTTAATATTCACTTTTATTAAATAAAAATAATCAGATATTAAACATGTTTTAACCAGATGTGTCTTTAATATGTCTCACTTTTAAAAGCTTGGCAATAATTGCATAGAATCAGTAGTCATCTAACTTACATGGTGTTTAGTTCAACAAGTGGAAGATGCCATAATGTTTTATTTACATTATCTAGGCACTAGAAAAAAATAAAATTGGAACTTTGGATTAATTCTAGATATTTACATGAAAATATAGTATTCTTCATAAGGAAAATTATTCAAGATAAATTTATTCAGCATAACTTACTTAGATTTAATTAAGGATATAAAACACCCTTACTTGTATTACCCACTAATGGGAAAAACTGCTTCTACTTCACCTGCCAAAAATGCTTGAAAAGTGATTTTTTAAAAAAAATTCAGTTGCTTCATTTAGTACTTGGCAGTGTACTTAATACCACAGTGCTGTGTTTTTCTGTGTGTGTGGTTTTTTTTTCTGTCAGTAGTAGTTTTTTCCATTTGTGGCTTTAACGAAAAGCTGTGGAAAGTCCTTTAGTATGTGTATGGAAGAGGATTTTTCTTCCTGCTCTGAAATACAATCTTACTGTGGAATAATTCAGATATCTCTGGGCATCCAAGATCTTTCAAGTGGTTATACCAACCTGCTTATGTTATACTTTGTCCACATGGGTCGAAACTGGAAAGGTGCCAACTAGTTTTCCTCAAAGCATACTGTGAGTAAGGATTAGCAGAATAATCCACCCTTTTCATCTGTAGGAAGTTTATTTTTGTAAAATCATTTACTAAGTGGATTGCAGGATTTTAATAGTAGAAATGTTGAAGATAAATTGGTTTGTCATAGTTTTAACAAACAAGCTATGTTAAAATTTGTTTTTTTAAAAGAGGAATTTATGGGGGTCCTAAACGTTAAATTATATTAATTTATATTATAAGGCTTAGATTCCCCCCCAAAAAGGGTTGTCTTTTGTTATGTTCATTGTATAAGCTCCTCTGAGCGCTAGATGCTAGAAAATAAAAGTAGGAACATTGTGTCACTAATTTTTTGTATAGAATTTATGTTGAAGTTTTCCACCTTAAACTTTTCATCTGGTAAGCAACAAGTAAGGAAGCTTAACTCTTAAGAAATCTGTTACTCATAATAGGAAGTTTTTAGTCTCTAACCTATTTCAAGTTTTTGGAAGGTTTAATTTGGTAAAGTAGTTGATACCTTAAATTTGTTTAGCAATTTATTGTTTTCAAATTGTTTAACTTTCTCTTTTTATTTTTAATTGTAAAATAATACTGCTTATGACAGATGGACCGAAGACGTGTAACTTTTGATATCTGTACTCTGCTTTTTCATACCTTCTAAGGAATGCTATTGTGTGATAGTCCATATCTCGATATATATTTTAACAATACTAGTGTATTTTATTGGGTCATCCCACCAACTTTGAAGACTAATATTATTCCCATTTTATTGCTGAGAAAGCTGAGGCTCAAACAGTTTTGTTTCAGACTTGTGATTATTTGTTTGGATGATTTGCAACTGACACTGGGACTCAGGTCAGATGATTTCGGTATTTTTGCTGTTAACCTGTTTTACGTAAATTTGAAGCAGTATGATAGAAAAAGTTGGATCACTGGGGTTAGTTCTCGGTCAGAGGTAAATTTTTAATCTTTCTGAGTCATTTTCCTTATCTGTAAAATGGGGATAATACCTCCCAACCCCAGGATTCAGGGGATTAAGTGAAATAATTTAAGTGCTTAAAATAGGCAAAGAATGTTAGCTCCCATTCTGTTTGATATTTGGAAATCCAGATTTAAAGTATTTTAAACAAAGCATTGTTAGTAGGATTACTTACATAGTAAACTTTTGCAGTGTATTTGAAATACGATTTTATTTATAATGTTTTCAGATGTGATTACCTGAGTGAGGCAAAGCTATCTTTTTTCAGCATGAGAAGTAATGAAGGTAGAGTAAAGTCAGACTTTATAATATTAAAAGCTGTAAGAATCTTATTTTTAAACCAAGCAAAGAAACCACATTAACCAGTATAATTGTGTAGATGCACATTTCTTCTAGGATACGGCCAGTAAATAGCAAAGAGCAGGCTGAAGCTGGTTTTGACATCGAAGTCCTCCTTAGATAAGATAAAGAACTTGCCAGGTATCACTCGGATGCTTAGCTGGTCCATGCTTGGAAGCTGGGTACCAGTGCTGCTGACTAAAGTGCCTTGCTTAGCATTAGTGGGGAAAGTGTGAGTGTGTTTTATGGAGGTTTGTGTTCTTCTGAGTTAGGTGTAGAACAAGAGCACTGATAAAATCCGACGTTCCATAACTCTTTTTTTGGGTAGGGCAAAATACTAGTCACTTAGCTTTTAAGGTTTATAAATGTTTACATAACAAAGTTAGTATCATTCCATCTAAACACACAGCCCTTTTGGTATTTTGGATGGGATTAAAGGAGAGTTGAAATTCATCTGAATATGTTAAGAAAAATATTTCCAGCCAGATGTGATTGTGCACACCTATAATCCCAGCACTCTGGGAGGCTGGATCACAAGTTCCAGCCTGGGTGGGCAGTTTAGCGACTTAGACCATCACAGTGGGGTAGAGGTTAGGGATATGCAGTAGCTCAGTGAAGGCCATGGGTTCAGTTCCCATGGGGGAGGGGGTGGGGAAGGATAAAACATTTTAGAACTGTTTTCTTTTAGGACTATTGTCATAACTCTTCTAGGAGACTTGATTCTTTTCTTTTCACTTTTTTAGAATGTACTTAGAGGAATTGCTAAATATGGTGTCTAGTGCTCGTCTTTACATGAAAGAAACTTGTTTTTAAGCTTAACATCTTCAGAATTCCTCGTTTAGGGTCATATCCTCTCTCCCATTTTATTACCTCTTTATTTCTTCGTTTAATTTTAGATTGTTCTATACAGAATCTAACTGAATAAAGTAACAGTCCAGGAGCATATATTTGGCATACTGGTGTGGCTCTTGGGGTAGCACACAACCCTGGTCAATTCATACTAGTGGACTCGCATTGTCTTCTTGCCTGGGTGATGACTCTCAATGGCTTTGGGTAGTCGTTTAACCCCTTTGAACTTGTGGTTAGTCATTTTCACCCGCAAGAAGCATTTTTCCCTTGATAAATCACAAAGATGCATTAGACTCTATAAGTTATAGCCTCTTTGGATTTCAAAGACAGGCTTGTCAACAAAGTAACACTTGAAAAGTAATAGACTTTGGTGGTTTTTTTTCCAATTTAACTTTTTAAATTATAGCATCTGGGCATAGAGACTATGTTTATTTCAACATAGAGACTAGAGTTTAATTTTATGTAGTTAGCATTCTGGTTCTACTTGCTATACGCTTGGGGAACTTCAATCAATTCTTAGGCCCCACTCCAGAAAGATTATAAATTAAT